AGTTGAGCGTCTGCCTTCGGCTCAGGTCATGATCCCAGGGTCCTGGGATGCAGCCCCGCACCTGGCTCCCTGCTCGGTGGGAGGCCTGCTTTTCCCTCTCTCGTCCCCCTGCTTCTATTCCCTCTCTCACTGTCTCTCTCTCTCTGTCAAATAAATAAATAAAATCTTTAAAAAAAGTTAGTTGAATGAACAAATGAATGAATGAAGATAATGAAGCTAGAATAATTGGAGCATAAGTCTATCATTTATCATTTTACATTACCACAGAAATGCCTACTACCTTTTCCTCTTTTATTTAATTATTGTAGGTAATTGGTTGTTTCCTATTAAGGTTGGTTTCTAGGTTATGCAATCTTACATTTTTCTAGGTTCTAAATTTTTAATTTCTTTTTACTTTACAAGTACATTATGAGATATCTTTCAATAGGTAACTGTCATTAAAGACCCAATCTGCATGAATCATCTACTTTAATGATGTTCACTTTTATCCTTCCTCATTCAAAATCCACTATGAAATGTAATAACAACATAGGAACCAAACAGCATATGGGTTTGTTTGATGATTACATTTATAAGAGAAATTCTAGTTTAAACTTCGTTCTTCAGGTTTCAGATGTTTAAAAGGAGACTTTGAAACTTGGCTTCTTAAAGTCTTTGACTATAAAACAATTTGCATCTCTAGATAGAAAGTACCTGAAACATTTATTCTTTTAATAATTAAATTTTTGTAATGAAATCAAGCATGTTTCCTAAGGAGAAGTAAAAGAAGTATTATAGAGAAGGGCAGAGAGAACAGGTAAGATTTGTACATGTTGCAAAATGAAAGAAATGCTAATTGGGCTGCTAGAACCAAAATGAAGTCAGACCCTTAGTTAAACTTCCTTTTTTGATATTATACCCAGCATATCAGGAAAGGTAAATTCAATATTTACTTCCAAGTCTGGGGTCCCTGTGTCTTTGCAATTATCTTATGGATAGTAATGTTTATTTTCAATACTTCAAAAAATCTGATGGATATTACCACTTTCCCCTAAAATCATACAAGCTAACTGAATGAAATAGCTTGCTTTTGAATGTAATTAGTCAAGTGTAGTGATATGGTTGTCTTATGATGATACAACAAAGTGGTATGTTAAACCACTGGCTGAATTCCAAATCCTAGTTCAGTTACTTATAAGCTGGGTTATGTTGGGCTAATTAATTTTTCTGATCTTTATTCCTCATCTATAAAATCAGGATCCTAACAATCACACATCACAGTTTTGGGGATTAATGACATAACATAGCAAATGTCCAACATATCTCTCTTTGTCAGCTTAGGCTGCTATCACAAAATACCATACACTGGGTGGCTTAATCAATAGACATTTGCTTCTCATAGTGAAGACCTTATCTAAATCCAATTACCTCTCAAGATCCTACTCCAAATGCCACTACATTGTGGGGTTAAGGACTTCAATATGTGACTCTGGCAGGGGACACAAACATTCAGTCCATAACAATAACCTAACCTCTACACAAATTTTCAGTCGGAAAAATTAAAATTGTAGCTAATCACTACAAACTATAATATTAAAGAGTTCAAAGGTTTGTAAGTCCAACTACGAAAGGACCCAGTAGTTATGAAAAGTGGTTTTCTAGGGCCATAGGAAGGTAATAATTCAGTTGGACAGACCAAAAAAGTAATTTATGACTTTCTCCAAACTAACATTGTGGAACTGGAAAATTCAAAAAGGCAGGACATAAAATATTGTATAACTCTATGGTCTTCTAGAAAGAAAAGAAAAAAGTAAGTGTGAAATTAGAGAAACTGGCATGAAGGCCAATGTCTTCTAGATTTTCCCTATACCTGCATGCAGTAAGCATACTTAATGTTTGTCATATTTGTTATATGATATTATTAAAATATACTTAATTTTCTAATAAAACATTTTGACTTGTTTGTTGAGTTTTTCAGATGCGCTTTGGCATATTGTGTGCAGGTATATGTTATGTTAATGCCCTTGGAACAAATTACCTATAGGGATAGTCTGGCACATAGTATGTGCTGAACAGGCATTTATTTCTCAAGGATTTCTTAATGATTTAATAATTTATGGTACAGGAGTTCATAAATGTATTATATTTAATTAGATACAAAAAATGATATGTGACATAATCTAGTTCATATTCACAGAAATTGACCGTAGAACCTCTTGTTTTAGTCTTCCCTTTCCTGGACCCTGGTGAGGGTGTGGGATGTAGCGCAGTGCTAGTGGAGACAAGGGTTTTCACTGCTTGGATCTATGAAAAAAGCCAGGGAAAGGAACCTTAGAGGTAGGTATATTAGATTCCTGGAGCTGCCATAACAAAATACCTCAAACTGGGTAGCTTAGAAAAAGGGGAATTCATTGTTTCACAGTTCTGGAGACCAGAAGTCCAAAATCAAGTTGTTCGCAGGACCACACTCTGAAGGGCACTAGGAAAGGATCTATTCCAAGGCTCACTTATAGCTTCTGGTAGTGACAGGAGTTCCTTAGTGTGTAGACTGTCTTTAGTGTGTAGACTCTCTTCTCCCTATGTCTCTTCACATCATCTCTTTGTGTGTGTCTCTTTTACATGACTTTAAAAAACATAAGGATACCAGTCATATTAGTTTAGGGGTCCACCTTACCCCAGTACGACGTCTTCTTACCTTTAATTACATTGGTAATGACCCAATTTCCAAATAAAATCACATTCTGAGGTACTGGGGGTTAGGATTTCAACATATCAATTTTTTTGAATTGTTAAATAATGTATACATATATATATTATTCAAATATAATTAACATCCAGTGTTATATTAGTTTGAGGTATAAATATAATGATTCAACATATACATTTTTAAGGGACATAATTCAACCCATAACAGTGTTATAGTAAGCAGGTTAAAAATTACAGCTAACAATTTATAGCTGGAAGCATCTTTATCAAACATAGAACACAGTTCTCTTATTTTTCCTATAAGAAAACAATGGCAATGTGATGAAGAAACTTGCCTGAAGTCATTTTGTTTATCTCAGAATTAGGCCAAAATTAAGATATCCCTAATATAGGGTCTTTCCTATTACAGCACACTAGGATTGTTGGTGTGCATGTGTAAGTCCTATATAGGATCTCATTAGGGAATCCTAAAAGGGTTATTGTTTGGCTGAAAGTAAGAAACTCAATACTACCAACCATGACAGGGCATGAAACAGAAGGAGCTGAAAGAAAACTCATAAATTTCTTCTTGTACTATATCTTACATCCCTCACAATGTGGAGCATGATCAGGAAGAAACATTAATAATGGACAGAAGAATAATGCATGTTGTTAGATAGCCAAAGAAATTGTCCTTCACACTGTACCAACGTATAGTCTCACTTCTGTCTTCTACTCAGAGGCCAGGACCCTCAGGACTTAGCCTCTTAACAGTAACCAAAACCTAGCTTTTGGATCCATTTATGCCCTTGAAGAACATCTGCTATGAATGCATAATACTTATTTTTCTACTTATCCTTAAGCTGCTTTATTTTTCTAATGAAAAGACCAAACTTCCCTTAATGTTAATATGACCATTACCACTGTGTTTGTTAATAGTTATAAAGAAATACCTTAAACCTCATTTTTTCTTTTTTTTTTTTGTTTAAGGCAGCTGGCAGTGAAAAAGGATGCAACCTTTTAGAGAAGGTTTTTAGATAAGCAAATTGTCCGTTTGACATAGAAAATACCTTTTTCTTTATCCTTTCAATATTATTATCTTATTATTAGTATTATTATTATATCTATCAGGATAGCCTTGGATAATCTAGCTTTCAGGCCAGGTATGACGCCTGATTAATAGAGACATAGAAATACTTCACTTGTGAAACGGACACATGTATCAGATTTATCGACATTTATCCTTTCTCTCTTGTTCAGTGTGTGTTATATTTCTACCTTTTTTTTAATGAACAGTGCTGTAATGAACATTCTGTATGTGCTACTTTTTGAACATTTGCCAAATATATGTATGAGTGGAAGTTTTGGTCACAGGGTATGGAAATGCTCAGCTTTGCAAGAAAAAGTCAAATTATTTTCCAAAGACTGAATTAATTTATATTGTTACCAGTAACTCCACATGTTTTCTGACTCTTGATATGTTCAGATGTCCTAATTTCTGCCCATCAAAACTGGTATAAATGATGTCCCACTGCTGTCTGGATTTGCATTTCTTTATTTACTAGTGAAATTGAACATCTCTTTATGTATTTGTTAACCTTTTGTGTGTCCTCTTAGGATACATGGCTTCTCCTGTTTTTTTTATAATTGTTTTTATAAAATTCAAAAATAGATAAAACTAAATATATCATTTTCACACTGGATATAAATAAATAATCAAGGTATGTAAATAAATAATATATACACAGTTCAGGATGTTGATTACCTCTGGGGAAATTTCATGGGGAAGACAGAGGAATTGAACACTGGAGGGGTACATTTGTAGATACACTTTAGAATTAGTTACTAGTCTAGTAATTGTGTGGGATTGTGGGTTCATGAGTGTTCACTATATTATTATACATATATAATAATATATATAAAAATTTATATTTTATATATATATTTATATACATTTATATATATAAATGAATAATTTAAATAAGTAAATGAGTGCAATAAATAAAAAGGGCCATGAAAAACCAAAGATAATAATATGTCATGAAACAGGACTGTGATTAATCCAATTGTATATACGTAGGTTCAATGGGGAAAATTATTTAGCTATTAAGATATGTATACCACTCATCTAAAACATGGGTTGAGGGAAATAATTTAAATGTGCAACAACAGAAAATTATTTAAATAAATTGGTATGTATCAGTTAGATTCCAGAAGGAAACAGATGACTCTCTCAAATGGGTTATTTGAGGAGATTTTAATAAACCATTTAAAGAGATGTGGGTATGGGTAAAAGAAAATAACAAGGATAGTAAAGCCCCTTGTGATTACAATAGTGAGGAGGTTGGAATCTTTTATTATTTAACATGAAAATCATAGCTTCTTTATTCCCTGGTTTCCAAAATCATTTCTGCAGGATCTGATGAGTCTGTGGAGGCCCTGTCTATAAAGGTTCTTTGCAGTTTTTCATTGACCATTATTACTGAACGTGGAGTAAGAAGAGATACTTTACAGAATTTCCTGGTTCCAGATATAGATCTCTCTTCCCCCACTGTGTGGCAGAAGCCCCATTCCTTGGTTATCTCCTTCTCTGCTCATGGTCAGCAGCCTGAGGACTCTAGCAGGTCTGGGAAGCAGTGTCAGTTTCCAATTTGTCAAAACAATGACTGTGTTCCCTGGTAAGTGTGTTTCGCGGAGACCAAAGTCACATGGAGAGAAAATAAAATTTCCTTCAGTGAATTATTTGGTAGATAATGAGAGTAATCATTCTTTTCACAACATTGTTCTTACTTAAGCATTAGAGACTGGCCAGGGTTGAGCATTAAGCTAGGCCTCCAGTTCTGTTTTGGTCCCAGACTAGATCTTCAGTTATATCATCTCTGAGACTATAGGAGATGAGTGAATTTTTGAAAGCTTCCATAGATGATTTCTGCCTTTCCACCTTGTTTTCAATTGGGCATTGAAAGATTTCAGTTCCTTCCTCCCTCCCTCCCTCCCTCCCTTCCTTCCTCCCATCCTTCCTCCCACCTTTCCTTCCTTCTCCCATCCCTTTCTTTCTTTTCTCTCTTTAATTTATATAATATCTAGGCTACCAGATGACCCTACAAAGTTTATAATTCTATTATTACCATAGCAACTAAGTGCCACAACCACTTGATCTCCCAATATCTTGCTTTGCACCTGCAATTTATCCTATGCTGCTAGCAGTTATGACTGGTAATCATGATGCCATTTAATGACAGAGATTACTAATATTCCTACCCTCCCACCCTGGCCCCTGATCTGAAGGTAGGTATTTTCACAGGTTTGCCTTCTGTTTTCTGGGGTGACTCCTGGTACCACTTATTATATCAGTCAGGATCCCAGTAAGAAACAAATAGCACAAACAGGATTTTTAGAGCAGATATTAATAAGAACAATTTAACTGGTGTGGGCAGGTTAAGGTAAATAAAAAAGGAATGAAAAACCACCCTCAGGTTAGCAAAAAAGTGGAGACACCATTATCACTTCCAGTTTGAATGGGTAAAGTGAGGAAGCAGTTACTTGAACCCAGAGAGAGTGACTATAGCACAGGGAGAAGGCAAAGTAACAGGATATCTGGGTTTTGGTTAAGGGCTCAATCAGCACTGAGACCTGGTAGAGATGGAGCCCAGCACTGGATCTTACTCTTCATCTGCCCTCTGATCTCCTGCTGCAGTCTCCCTTTGGCTGAACTCAACTGGAAGCCAAAGGCAAGAACTCAATTGATACAGCCCATATGGGTCATAATTCCAGGGAACACAGAAGGATGGAGAATGAGTAAATATCCCTTGAAAGGGCCACTGAAAAATATCCATCACACAACTGAAAGAAGCAACAGTATTCAAGCACTAGGAATGATGCTGGATGAGAGAAATATATTCTTAGATATGGAACAATATATATGTCAGATTCATAAGTTATAAAACATGCAACAAAATAGCATTTTATAATTAAAGTGAACATAGATGAATAGGTTAGAGACAAACTAGAGAACAAACAGTAATATTAGAAAGGAAGGAGCTGGAAAAAATATCTCCAAATGAGAAAAAAAGAGAAAGCAAAACTGTAAGACTATGTCTATATCGGATGCATTGAATAGTGATTTTCACTCTGTTGAGATGAATTAGAGAAAAGTGCCTTAAAAAATACAAACAGGAAAATAAATATCTTTCTAGCTGTCAAGTCCATCTCTTGAGGATCCTACATTGTTCACTTACAGCATTACAGAGAGTGAGAGAGAGAGAAAGAGAGACAAAGAGAAGACAAATACCATTACTTTCAGGAAAGGGAAAGAGGATTGTCAAGAATTCTAAAAAAAGCTGATTCACTCTTCAGAATAGAGATGGGGCATGTGGAGAAGGAACTCCACCATGGATTAACAATAGAGGTTCCCAAAGAATTGGGGAGAATTTGGGAAGTCTTCAAATTTTGTATGTCATCTTAACAGGCTTCTTGAACTACACGACCTGCTGAGGATTATGTGCTATATCCAGGTAACCAGGTTTGTAGTTTCTGTTAGCTTCTGTCTTTTCATAAAAATGTAAAGAAAAACTAAACTCCATGTAAAGAAAGAAAGCGTAAACAAAAGGCTTAGCGTTTATCTTTGGGAGCAGGATAAAAAGGCATACTTGAAGACTACATTTCGCTACACATGCGGACTTACAGATTTCAGAACAATAAAGGATCAGGCAGGTGCTGGCGGCTCCAGGAAGAAAGGCAAAGAGAGGGAGACAGAGACTGTAGTCCATGACAATGGTGCAAGGGGAGAATAATGGAAGATTCAGCACAAACATCTTTCTTTTGTTCACCTTTCCTCTAACACATTTTCTCTTTTCAATGTTTTCTGGAAGTCGCTTAAATCTTTCTCCAGGATCTGTTTTATTCCTTGAAGCCCTTTAGTGAAAATTTTTTCCTTTTCTGTTTTGAAGCTTGATAATTCTTAGATTAAGAAGCTGCTTTCACTCCACAATATGAATTTCATATTTTTAAACTAAGTTTGTAAAGTACATGCTCTTATTTATTTTCTTAGCACTGTTTGCACCTCCATTCTTTCATTGATTTTCAGAAGAGAGAGTCATTTCATTATTTTTCTTCCTTTTGGCATTAAGCCTTAAGAACCGTTTTTGCATTAATCTAAAAGGGAGGCTTCACACTTCATTTACTAACTACACATTAAAAAGAGGTTTTCATTTTCTACCGCTAAATACAGACCAACACAAATCCTCCATTAGGAGTGAGAATCTTTTCCTTAATACCCAGGAACATCCATAAAGCTTCCTATAAATGTTCTAATATTAAAAACAGAGGGATTTCATTTTGAAAGTAAGAAAAGTTTTTTTTCTTTCTTCCTGTTTATTTTCACAATCAGGCAGATTTATCTCCTTGTTTATTATAATCACTATGCTCATCCAGTTTCAAACATAAGTGCCAAAAAAATGTTTCTGTGTTTCATTTTCTTTCTCTCTCTCTCTTCTGCCCCCCCTCTCTCTACACACACACACACACACACACACACACACACACACACACACACGCCTCATGGCTAAATGAGCACAGTGCAGAGACAAACTAAAAGGTAATATCTTTACAGGATATTAAGCAGGAAAGAAGGGCAAGACTCCCTTGTGCTCTCAGTAATACCCTATTTATATCGTCTTTTTTCTTGGCTAAAAAGAAAAGTCAGACACACAGCATGAAGATTTCACTTTCTGATCTCTTGCCAGTTTTTCCTCTGGCTGTAAGAATAAGGACAATGCCCCCTCTTAGTCAAAGTATTTGGTTCTTTTTTATGTAAAATTTTGAGTCTTGCTCTTGACATCTGTATTAGTGATCCATTGCTACATAATACTACTATCACCATAAACTCAGCATCTTGAAACTATACATATTTATTACCCCACAATTTCTGTGGGTCAGGAGTTCAGGCATAGATTAGTTGGGTCCTCTGAAAGGCTGCAGTCAAGATGTCAGCTGAGGCTTTGGTCTCATCTGAGGGTTTGACTGGCTCACTTAGGTTACTGGCATAATTCAACTCATTATAGTTGTAAAACTGAGTGCTTTAGTTTCTTGCTGGCTGTTGGATAAAGGCTGCCTTCAGCTCCTAGAGACGACCCACAGTTTCCTTCCATGTGGAGTTTACCAACATTGCCACTTGCTTCCTCAGAGCCAGTAAAGGAGAGAGAGAATCCAGCAAGTTGGAGGCTACAATCCTATGTAATGTAATTACATATTCATTTATACATAATCGCATACATCCCATCACTTTCACATAATCTGTTTTATAGAAGCAAGTCACAGATCATGCTGACACTCAAGGAGAGAGGATCACACAAGGGCAGAGTAGCAGAAGGTGGGGATCATACATGCACATTTAGCAAAATACTAGAATATTTTAAGGAAGGCAGAATTACTGTATTTTGTGTTTTTAAGTTAAAATAATATTGCTAGAAGTCCAAGCACGTATTTACTATGTACACGTTACCGAAATTAGCCCATTCTTTCTTGACTAAACTAGAGAACAGGGCTCCAGATTTGAAAATTAAAGATTTCTATTTTATAAACAAAATGCTTTTTTCCTTGCCCTTATTGTAATTTCTTGTTAGAGAATTTCTTCTTCCAGACTTTTTTTTTTTCACACTTTCACGAAAAATTTTTGGTACTACAAATCTCAGTTCAATTGCGTCTAATTAAGGCTGTGTGAATAGTTCAAGTTAATGGAATGTTGACAGAAGCAGTATGTGCCACTTACAGGCCTTGGGGGGGAAAATAATTTTCCACATATTCAGTCTGCTTTCTTTTATTTCCTTTTCCTTTTTTTTTTTAAGATTTCATTTATTTATTTGACAGAAAGAGAGTGAGAGAGCATAAACAGGGGAAACAGCAGAGGGAGAGGGAGAAACAGGCTCCCCAATGAGCAGGGATTTGAGATCATGACCTGAGCCGAAGGCAGATGCCCCTGCTTTCTTTTCTTCTATGAATGATAGCATCAAAAGAGTAACAGAATGTGGGTCCTGAATAACTGCATTGAGTAAAACACTCTTATCCACCCATGCCAAATATACACCATACGGCACTGTGGAATCAATAGACCTTCGCTGTGTAGAGGTCACTAAGATTTGGGTATTGTTTTTTAAAATAGCTAGCCTACTCTCACTGACACATAAGTAAAAAATATTATTCTTAAAGATGTGAGGAGAAGATAATCTAACAGTATTTCAAATGATAAGGAGTTTTAATTAATGTCATGGATAAATTATTTTGTTTTCTAGGTTGGGGAATTATTACAGACACTGCAATATTTTAAAATATTGATTCATCTATGTTTCTCCACCCACACACCCCCATTTGGCTAAAGACAACACAGTAAAAACAAAAACTTTTTAAAAATGGTGAAGGAGAAAAATATTTTCACCACCTTCTAGGTTTCAGAAATAAGATGCAGAAATATTTTTTCATGTTTACAAAGGGTGACCAGAGATAAATAAATATACTCAGTCAAATGCACTATGTTGCTCAGACAAATGTTTCGAGGTCTTTTTCTATGGGGGTCCTAAATAGATAATAAAATTGAAAGTAGAACTTTTTTCTGTGTTTCCCATTTATATGCCCTATCAATGAGATCAGACTACCATTAATTATCTAGAAGATACTGTTC